GTCAATATAGCCTCACCCTACCATTCCTTAGATACTTCCGCAGTCTCTAACATGGCATTAACCAAATCAGTTAGAGTACGGTTCTTTTTCTCTGTAATCCCATTAGACTGTGGTGAGTATAGTGACGTCCTCTCATGAATAATTCTATGCACCGCGCAAAACTCAGAAAATTCATTTGAGAAATATTCTCCCCCGCGATCGGACCGCAAACGCTTGATTTTCTTCTTAAATTGATTTTCTACCTCATCTTTATAGACTTTAAAATAATGCAATGCTTTATCTTTAGTTTTCAATAAATACACGTAGCAAAATCTAGTACAATTATCTATAAATGTCATGAAGTATCGTCTACCGCCTTTAGTTAATTCGCCATTCATTTCACATAAATCAGAATGAACGAGTTCTAATGGTGCCAAGTTCCTCACCTCAGCAGCCTTGTGAGGCTTGCGCGGTCGCTTCGATTGCACACACACCTGACACTTAGAATCTTTAACTAAGTTAAATTTTGGGATTAAATTTAGATTTACAAGCCGCGTGAGACAGCCAAAATTAATGTGATAAAGTCGTGAATGCCATATATTCGACTCATCCGAAACATTAACATTGTTCATCACTTTATTACACACATCATCAAGCAAAGATAAGCGGAACAAGCCTCCACAATCATAACCTTTTCCAACAAATGTTCCATGTCTCAACACAACACACTTATTGGACTCAAGCACAATTTTAAAGCCATCGCGACACATCTGAGAAGCGCTAACAAGATTCTTCTTGATGGAGGAGACATGCTGCACGTTTTTTAATAGCACCGTCTTTCCTGAAGTAAACTTTAGAACGACCGTACCAGCACCAAGAACACGTGCATGCGAACCGTTTCCCATCAGCTAGGCTCCAGTCCTGCTGGCCTGATAGGAAGTAAACAAAGAAATATCAGCACACACATGGATATAAGCATCGTTGTCCATCCACCACTCAGGTGAAAGACAAATTGAAAGAACAAAAGGTAAAGAATTACCATATCCAGATGTTCCTCCTCCAGTCTCGCTACTCACCACGTTTGCTGATTTATTTTCTTGCTTATATTTGTGGTCTGGGCACGCACTAGCCTAATGCTCATCACTCCCGCAAACAAAGCAACATCCACCTTTCTTATTATTTTTCTTCTTAAACTGAGCAGTCTGCTTAGGTTTTGTATTGTTGTTCTCTTGCATGTTCTTCTTCTTTTTATTGCGGGAAGCAAATGAGTTTTTCTTCTGCACCATATTGGCAGCGGAAGACTCAACTCCTTTTCCACGGTTGTCTTTTGATTTTGCCCTCTCCTCAACATCAAGAGATCCAATAAGTTCAGCCACGCTAAACTCTTGTCTCTTGTGTTTTAGAGAAGTAGCAAAATCCCTCTAAAAAGGTGGCAGCTTAGCGATTATACCGCCAGCCACAAACTTGTCGGGCAACAGGCATGGAAAATGTTCTAGTTCCTTTGCTATCGCCTGTATCTCATGAGCCTGTTCGACCACAGAACGGTTTTCAACCATTTTATAGTCATACAGCTGCTCCATAAGGTACAACTCACTACCAGCATCAGAAACTCCAAACTTTGCCTCAAGAGCATCTCATAACTCTTTGCCTGATGTGTAAGATATGTAGTTTTTCTCATACTTAGGATGAAGTGCACTAATCACGGCGTCTCGAAACAGGTTATTGGCAGCCAAGAACTTTTGCTCCTCCTCAGGAGTAAACTGTTTAGGCTTCCCTGCGCGGTGTGATAGCAGTTCATCACAGTCAACCATAATACCATCTTGGCATGCCATGTCATGAAATTCTTGCCATCAAAATTATTTGACTTCAAAGCAGCAGCAAAACCACTGACAAAAAATTGTCTAACATTAGGTTTTTGGATTGTTAGAAATTTAGACATTTTCATTATCAATTTAATCCAGAAATAAAACATCAGCAGGTTCGTGACGGCATATATGTGCATGTGTATATCTCTGACGAACGTTACAGCATACAGAGATGACATACAGATAAATACAGTAAAAACGCAAAGTACAGTAATCACAGAGATTAGAGTGTACCTAGCGGAGGGTCCCATGCCGAGGGCATCGGATGCTCCATTCGCACTAGTCGACATAGTGCGTTGCTCGAAGTCGTGGACCACAGTCGATGCAGGACGATATTCGCAGTGCAGTCCCACGAACAGATCACCAGGAAGAAGACGCCTTGCTGTTCCGCAATCAGTCACCGGGAAGAATACGGGTTCCGAGAGCGATCGTCACCAGGAAGAAGGCGTACGTAGACGAGCAGTCGCGGATCGCTCCCCAAAAACCTAATCGCCGCACACCCCGTGCAAGGTTCTCAGGCGGGCGAGGGTTCCGGAGGCACATGCTCTCCCGCTATTCCGTACGCGCAGAGGTACGGGAGGAGGAAGCCAGAAGGCTGCTGAGATGTGGTTTCTCTCGGGAGCGGTTGCGAAGACGGAGATCTGGACTGACGGAGGACTTTAGATATATAGCTGCGACGGGAAGAGAAAAAGAAAGCGAAGAATCCCAGGAGACGGAGAAGCGGAAGCGGAAATATGTGGATTAAGTGGCAAAAGACTGGCCACCCCCGTCCGCTCGCCACCGCCTGCCTGCCACGGCCCGGCCGGCGGCGCGCGCACGCGCATGTGGCACGCCTATGTCCTTTTCTCATCTTCTCAATTAAGATGAATAATTTCCAACCATATAAGTTGAGTCAACGTTCAGTTAAAATCTCGTATAGTATTAAACCATACAACGCTAAATATTACATATCATAGAGTTTTATTTGATTTATTAAATACCAACGTCTTCCAAACCAACCGTCTTTGCTGACCTTTCCTGATATTTGTCCGCACGATGTTTCAGTTCGGTCGTTGTCATGCATACTTTTACTTGTTCTGAATCTTAGGTTTAAATGTCCATCCGGACGCTCTGAAGTTGTCTTCCTGACATGCCCTTCAGCGTCCACTTCAACAGTCCGAATGTCAAGATCACCATTTCGTCTGAATTCAGAAGGCATTTCAAGTGCTCTCTTCCTTAGCATTTCGGAACCCGTTTCAATCAATTTAAACCGAGAGGCTGGTATTGTTTGAAAATCAGTGCACAATTCTGAGTTTCTCGTAGTCACCAAAAAAAAAACTGAGTTTCTCGTAAACATAGCATCTCCAATTCTTGGTTGAGCTTAACAGTTGCAGAACATTGCTAAGTGCTAGTAACTGTCTGAGACTCTGACCTTATTACGAAACTAATTATTGAACCTGCAGAGACGAAGGCTGACGCATGGAAGGCGCTGTGGACCATCAGCTTGCACAAGATCTTCGCGGCCATCGCCATGGGCATCGCGCTGCTCCGGATGCTCCCCAACCGGCCCTTCCTCTCCTGCTTTGCCTACGCCTTTGCGTTCGCCATCTCTAGTCCCATCGGCGTCGGCATCGGCATCATCATCGACGCCACCACGCAGGGCCGGGTGGCTGACTGGATCTTCGCCGTCTCCATGGGCCTCGCCACGGGCGTCTTCGTCTACGTCTCCATCAGCCACCTCCTCTCCAAAGGGTACCGGCCCCGGAGGCCCGTCGCCGTCGACACGCCAGTCGGGAGGTGGCTCGCCGTCGTGCTCGGCGTGGCTGTCATCGCCGTCGTCATGATATGGGACACCTGACCTGATGAGAGACACGTACATAAGGGTGGATTGTTCTGGACTTCTAGGGGGTTGGTTCTTGCACGAGGGATCGGATTATTCGGATATGTTGTACCAGACTCTTTTTAGCTGATATGCTATAAACACTACAACGGTATATACACATTCGTGATTCGTGACAAATTTCAATACTTCTTGGGTTCTCAATTTGGGAGTTAAGTGGCTGCCGGAAAACTTATCCTTTGGGGTAGATCATCTCGAGGCAAGGTTAGGGACTAGGGCGTCCCCAATGGTACGAGCAAGTTGCCAGCAACATGAATGAACTCTCGAAACAACAAGGATAGGAGTGCAGAGAGGGGAGATTTTTGGGAGACATGATAGCCCAGCTGGCGCAGCTAGTGCACTAGAAAAACTCCTTGAACTAGAATTTTTTTTTCAAATTCCTTGTTTGGGGAAGTTTCGCCAGCTTAGCATTTTTTTTTAGTGTTTAATCAATAATTACTGCAAAAGGTTTTTTCAGCAGTTTAATACTATTCGATGTGAGATTAACTAAACACGCGCTTACTGATTGAGTTGAACTATGAGATTAGATTGATGATGACTTTTGAAGTCGAGATAAGTTGTAGCTAGTAGAGAAGAATACAATAGCATCTTGAACATAACTGAGACACGTCATAGCAATCCGGTTCCTTTAGTCTCCTGACGCGACCTGATCATCAGATTAGTGATGGTAAGTGTAATGCCATTCAATTCGGATTTCATAGTATGGATTCAAACGCATTGTTCTCACTAAATTGTGCAACTTCATAGCTAGTGTTACACAGTGCCATAAATGCACATTGTTGATCTACCTGGTACAGATCCAGTGAACAACCAGTTTCATAATTTCATCTAAACATTTCAAAACCCCCAAAATGTACCTCCTGGGGATCTTATCACCAATTAATAGATCTTCAGGTCCTCAGGCCACAGATATATACGGAACTACTGATTCGCCTTTGACCTGCCACCTCTGTTGCTCACGGCATTCTCTTCCTGCACAGGGTGACTGGAAATAAGAAAATCGTGCTGATAACCCTTAGTATTGTGCATAGCCAGTTTTAATGTTTCTGAGCAATATGTTTAGTGCACAGTTGTTGGGTCTCAAGAATAAACCAGATCAGTTAGGGGCCTAGGGTCAGTGCAAACTATCCACGTTCTGGTGTAGATTGAGCACCTGATATGTCATATATATTCTGTACTTAGATACTTGATCAGGTAGGCTGGTCAAAGATAGATGGGTTGTTTATGAAACTATATCAAACAGAGCATGGGTACAAGAAATGTGCAAACTGAACAATTCACGATATCACTTTCAGTTTCACCAAAAATGCTGATGGTGCTGTACCAAAATAATTCACATTAAAGAAGAGAAGCAATTTGCAGGTAAGCAGAAACTTGCACCGCATTACAATCAAAGCATCATAATCTGTACGCCATTTCAACAAGGTGTTGTTTTTGGAAGATTGTGAATTCTATGTTTTAAGTCATCAGTTCCATCAGTCATTACGTTCATGATGGTTCTACTGAGGCCAGTCCATTAGCTGAAACCTACAATCCCTGAATGTTCGACTTCTAGCAAAATAGCATCCGTGATGAAAATATAAACCATGACCTATGTTGTCAGGCCTCGTATCGAATTCGGACCATTGCTCGAAAATGGGATACAAATGCATGCCTTGGCTTCATAATGATATTCAGTTTGAAGCGGAATGAGTTGACATGGTAAGAAGTGTTACTCTCACAAAATAGGGAAACCACAGAATGCATAGTAGTTTACTTAAAACATAAGGCATTTGGAAGCAATTAAGGTGAGATACAGTTTTTGGACATACCTCATTCTCATTCAATGTCTGCTCGAGTTCAAGTTTGTGGGCTGACATTCGGGCAATCTCAGAGATAGCTGCATCACGCACCTGCACATCATCGCCAGCAAGTTCCTCGTATGCAGCTTCAAACGCCTCCTGCCAGAACCGTGGAAGCCGTACCTCGTCACTGGTCCGTGTGTACATGTCCCACGTTCGCCCCACTAATTTCTCCCTCTCCTCCATCTCCTGGTCATATTGTAAGACAAGCATAAGCATCCACGCAAGAAATACAGCATTGAAGTATGCCTTTCGTGCTTTATGCTAGACAAGACAGCAGTGAATCAGGTAATCAACCATTCAATCATTTTAACAATTTTGAAGTGTGGTACTGGACTAGTGGACTTGGTACCAGAGAACCATATAAAGCAATGAAAATTTATTATTTCTAAGATCAAATAAAACATACAAAGACACTTGGCTGTATTTCTGTGGCACACCAATGAATCCTTAAATTAGTGGCATGCCAAGGTTGTTTACTAACCAAGTTCAACCAATGTGATCTTGATGGTACACCAATGAATCCTACAATTAGTTGATTTGCTACAAACCATTTCTGCTTTCAGGGATCATATTCAGCGGCCTTTCTTTATGGAAATCATTGTCTCTATGTGCTGGGCCATTTGGGCTGCCAGGAATGACATTATCTTCAGAAATCTTCAACATTCAGTGGGCTCTTGCAAATTTACCTATCGAAAGGAGTTAGCTCTAGTTAAGCTAAGAGCTAGAGATAACTATCAGCCTATGTTTGATCACTGGCTAGACAGCTTTGTATAATTTTCATGATTTTCTTTGTGTCCTTCTTTGTATCCTGAGTTTAGATCTCGGCTCTTTGTAACTTTTTTTTTTCAAGTTTATATATTAATAAAAGTCCAGTAGGGGGCAACCCCACCTGTTTCATAAAAAAAAGTGATCTTGATGGTAACTCTGGACACCTGGCAACCACTCAGTAATGGGTATTCCGCAGGCAGTCTTGTTGAATTGAATTCAGACCAAATACGAAATCTGAATATGGTAGGCTCAGTATCACGCGCAGTACAAGATTTGTGCTTCCACTACCCAGGGGGGGAATTTGTAACAGGCTGGTTTACGGCAAGATTTTTTTCAAAACCCTAACTGAATCTTTCACGTTCTTCTTAAGATAAAGTTGGCAAAATAGCAATATTCTTGGACAAGTGAGTGGAACCTACAAAACTGGTAAGGAGTATATCCATACTCAGTATTGTATATCGTTTTGCCTGTGTTTTCTCACGGATAGTCTAATAAACAAACTCACTAAGTTCAATCAATTGCAAAATTCCTCTGGCATTCATCTGAAGCTACCTGAACTTGGCAGGACTACAGGCTAAACCAATTGTTCAGTTTCACCAAGCCTTTGCCCCCATATCTGTTGGGTAATCCCTGAAACTGGAAGGGGGAGGACGAAAGGAACGATCTCCTCCCTGATTTTAACGCAAACTGCAGCCGAGAGGAGAATAAGCTCGTCACACAAATAGTTGCCGGCACACATTTACGCAGTATAACAAATCAGACAAGAAAACAGCTGGCAGGGATCTCTCCCGAGGCCCGAGGGAGGCGGGCGGGCAGGCGGGCAAAGGTAGAAGGGAGCGTGCGTACATACGAGGGAATCGAGGTCGTCGGCGAGCGGGACGTCCATGTCCCCGTAGACGGAGGCGAGGTCGCCCGAGGAGGACCAGCGGAGTGAGACGGAGGCGGCGGACATGGACCAGAGCGCGAGGAGCGCGATGGCGGCCAAGGCCCACACCTTGTACCGGCCCTTCCCGAGGAGTGCCGCCTCCGCGCCACCCACCGCGGAAGCGGGCATGGTGATCTTGGTCGCCGGCACCGGGGACGCGGCGCTGTCGGCTGGCACGGCCTTCATCCCGGCGTCGGTGGTGGCGGTGGAGAGCGGGACTGCGGGAGGGAGAGGGCCCGTGGTGAGCTGCCTTTTGTAATTAGCGGCTGCGCTTAGTGAGGTTGGCCCTCGTGGGCCCGCCAAGTTCCGGCGGTACACCACCAGCTCACCACGAGCGCTCGAGCAGAGGCAGCAGCTCTGCGCTCGGCCGCTCGTCACTTCGTCAGTGGAAACCCAACGGCAACGGTTAGTGCGGTGCTCCGGTATCACTCCGCTCTGCGCTTGTAACGAACAAGTCGCCGGTCCACGGTTCACCCCGAATCGGATCAGTATCACGTCCCTCACCCGCTACCCCAGGCAGTTTAAAAAATTTGGTGAAATTTTGTCAAATTTTCGTGAATTTTGACAATTTCCGGTTAGGCGCTACTTTGACAAACAATATTGCTTAATTGACACACGTCCCTCTTGGTTATTATTCTTTTATGCAAGAAAATCATATTATGGGCGAGTCTTTTTCCGATTAAAATCGGATCTGTTGCCGTCTCACCACAGATAATCAAGAAAATCACGTCAAATGTTCTATGGTATCGACGATTCTTTTCACCGTACAAGACTCGCGTTTTCTATGCCGCAGGATGGACCGCCTGTCCTATATGGCTATAGAGTAGACATTTATATGTATATATGTCACACCCACCCCTGTAAATGTAGACACACACGTCCTAGCACTTGAGCTCCTACCAAAGTTTGGGACTAATAGATCCTGAGATACAAAATCATTACATACATACCACCATGCACAGGACGCAACGCAAGTGGAATACACACATTTTAATGAGGCTTCGTTTCGCTAAAATTTGACTTATGCTGATGCTTATGTTGATTTATTGTGAGAGAAAAACATTGTTCGTTCGTTAAAAAGTAAGTAGTTCAAGCGAACTGGGCAAAGACACCTAGGTTTGATTCCTTGTGGTTGCGGATTTAACGTACAACCATTTCTATTAACCATAGGCATGTCCACCCATTTGGGTACAACCATGCTAAGGTAAAAACAATGTGAGTTTGTTTCTAAATTTGTTTAGTGAAATTAGTGTGAACTTGTCGCTACCTAATGTTGTTCATAAAAAGTATGTTTAAGGAAGATTTTGAGGATGCTATTAATTTTGGAGATATTTCTTTCGTGGTCTCTACAAATGCCAGGACGTGGGTGCATCTTAAGCAAGACTCAACATAGGGCCTGTTTAGTACAGCTTATAAGCTGTTTATGGTCAAAATAAGATAAAATCAACAGTCAAACGCTATGCTTTTCAGCAGCTTATTCTGGCCATGCTTATTCCCATAGCACACATTTATACTAAAAAACAGAAACTAGATCAGACCAGCTTATTTTGACCGTTACTTTTACTCTATTTGTGTAGTTTATCTGGAAAGCGCTTCCCAGATAAGCTGTACCAAACAGGGCCATAGAGTACAAACCCATAGAATACCAACATTTAGTTCGTAGGCAAGTTAGCAGTACTCTGTTGCGAAGATCATAACTCTTTTCATTTGGTGTCCGATTAAAGCTCACGAGTACTTGATATAAAACTTATGCGATAGACTTCCAAATGGATCTGTTCCGCCTCAACATCATATCGACAAGATCTCAAAACTACATGTTGTTGTTGTTTCTCCCATGTGTCGTGTCGTCTTTCCTGGACCTTTTGTAATCACTCATGTGTCGTCTTTTTTAAGAGGTGTGTCGTGAAATCCTTGATATGTTTGGATCCCTGTTTTAAACTTTAGAGTTAAAGCCTCTAACAGGTGGTCTAACGTTAGCTCTAAATTTTAGCTCATCTTATATTAGAGCTTTAGACGTCAAAAGTAAGTTAATATTCTCTAAAGTTTTTAGAGCTTAAAGTTTAGAGGAGGGGATGATCGTTAGCGTTGAGTCCCTACAAATTGACTTATCTATAATAATATAGGATATACTTGAGACGTGACACGTGAGGAGTATACTGGAATATCGGAGGCTGATTCTCATGTCTCAAGTGATAAGAGCTGGGTCCGCGTCGAGTTCTCACTCATCTTAAGTGTCACTATCAACCGTGGAGCACCAAAACCGTGAGCCGATGGGGGCAGATTCTTTCCAATACCAGGGCCGGTCGCAATGATAAAAAGCGGTTCGCGTTGTTAACAATAATAACAAGCATGCTCATCGGAATGTCCAAAGTAAAAAAACTGCTGGTTGGCACCAAAACAGAGCCCTCGTATCGTCTGTTTACCATCGGCTTGTTCGTTCATTGGTTAAGTTCGGGGCGACGAGCAACTGCTGGAGGATAAACATCACCCAGAGCCCCGAGCCCACCCGGGAAAGCAAAGGGAGCACCGAGCACCATCAAATTTAAATTTCAAAGCGACCAATCACCAAACCAAACCGCTCTCCCGTCTCCGTTCTCTCCAGCTCTAGCCTCCACCACCCAGCAGGAGAAAGAGATCAAGCAAGAGAGATGAGCGTGGTGGTCCTGGACGGATCGACGGTGCGCGGGTTCGTGGCGGACGAGCCCGCCTTCGCGCGCAGCGTGGACGCGCGCTTCGCGGCGCTGGACGCCAACGGCGACGGCGTGCTGTCCCGCGCCGAGCTCCGCCGCGCGCTCGAGTCGTTCCGCCTCCTCGACGGCGCCGGCTTCGGGTCCGCGGACCCGGCGCCGCTCCCCGCCGACGTCGCCGCGCTCTACGACGCCGTCTTCGAGCAGTTCGACGCCGACGGCAGCGGCGCCGTCGACCGCGCCGAGTTCCGCGACGAGATGCGCCGCATCATGCTCGCCGTCGCCGACGGGCTCGGGTCCCAGCCGATCCAGGTCGCCGTCGACGACGAGGGCGGCAGCTTCCTGCTCGAGGCGGCCGAGCACGAGGCCGCCGAGATCGCCGCCAGGGTCGAAGCCGACCGCAGCAAGGCCGCGGCCGCGGCGGCCGCCGCCGGGCCCAAGTGACGACGTGTCCACGTGCCGACGGGGGGTGGTGGCCTTGTGCTCTGCGCTCGCTGTATAGTTTGCTCTACGTGGCAGTCGATGTGCCGCTGCACGTGTACGGTGTACGTAACCACAAGCAGCAGCAGGCCGGTGGCGCGGATTCTGAGAGAAATCACTGATACTACTTGTGAGCGGAGTGATGAATATATATATATATATATATATATATATATATATATATATATATATATATATAAAACTACTGCCTAGTTATGATAATTAATATATTAATTTACGACTTATAATAACTTATAATTACTAAGTGTTAATTTATAACGTTATAATAAATCATTACTAAGTGGTTTACTATAACGTTATCGTAAATATATATTAATATTATAAATAAATTAACTAAAATTATTATAAATAAAGTATTGACATTATAACTTATTTTAGTATATAAAATTATTATAAATATATATATATATATATATATATATATATATATATATATATATATATATTATATATATAAATATAGGCTGCGTGAAGCCAGGTACTACAAGCGTTACTGTGATTTGAAAAAAAAAAAAGCGCTCTCTCTGCGCTTCCCGCTACCGTCTACTGCCGTGCTATTCCATTCCTATTTGCTCACAAGTGCTTTTGCATGGCTTGGCCGAATGACTGTTAATCAATCTTCTCCATGCTCAACAAGATCAGTGGGACGCCAATAGCTGGTGTTTGTGGAAATGCCAGTCAGGTACTACTGACCTAGGAAATGAAAGTATGTGCAATTTGGATTACCAAACAAATAAAGATAAGCTCATTCTCAATGCAAAGTTGACCATATCAAATTAGGGTCCGTATCTTTATCACTTGTCTGATATCTTCAGTCACATTTTCTGAACGCCTTCTTCCTCCCTTCCACCCCACCTCTTCTTCCTCCTCGTCCTTGCCCCTGCCGCCGCCCACCGCCCCGCCGTGGCGCGCTAGAGTTTCGCCGGAGCTCCGCGGCCGTGGAGATCCGGCGAAACCCTAGCACACCAGCGGCGGTCACCTTCTTCCTCCTCCCCCCTCCTTCTTCTGCGGCGAGCACCGGCCATGGAGCTCCCCCGCCCCGACCTGGCCCGCTTGACTCCACCGCCGCCAGGGCCCATAACCCGCCTTGCCGCAGTCCCTACTGCATGTTTGGCCTTCTTGCCCCCACCCCGGCTCCAAACCTCTTCTTTTCTAAGCACGCCGGAGTTGGGGAAGAAGGGGGTGGGGCGGGCACGGGTGGGGAAGAAGTACAGTGTGGCTGACTGACGGAAGATTTGGACGTAGGCACGGGCGTAGGTGACTAACGGAAATTGAGAATCTCAGGCCACTGCAGTGGAGTAATTCTGATCAAATTATCAATTTGTGCAGGCCACCATCAGTAGACCTAAGCGGTCTCTTCTGAAACGAGTCTACTACGTACCAATTAACGTTCTTGCACTATCTCCACCACGATGCCAAGCTAAGCTGCACCAGCCACTGTCATGCGCATCGAGTGGGAGGCGGCCGTGCCGCTGCCGCTCCAGTGGCGGCTCCGTCACGAAGCCATCGCCGACGAGTTCGTTGCCGGAGGACTCGAGCCGCTTGCGACGGCCCGGGCTGCGTTCGCGGCGCCGTCGGCTGGTGCCTGGTGGGCTGGATGTCCCTGGCCGGCCGGGCCGAGAGAGGAAAACATGGGCCCGGCCCACTCTAGCGCGAGCTGGTTGAGCTGACATACTCCAGCCGTCTAGCGCGAGCGGATCAGCGGAAGCACATTCCGCCGCTTGCCTCTCTCGCCGCTGCTCCGACGAGCTCGCCCGCCGGCGCCGACTCGTCTCCCGTCGGACCAACCCGCCAAAAGCGGCCCGGCTCACAAGAGGCTTCCCTCCGCGCATACTTGCCTGCCTCTTCGCCTTCCCGAGCCTCCTTCTGCGCCCGGGCACGGGCTCGCGGCCTTGCGCGCCCGAGCGCGTGCAGGCGGCGCCGAACCCACCTCCTGCTCCACCCCGTCGGAGCTCGCCGGCCACGCGGAGGGATTCATTTCCTCGCAGTCTTCTTCCTCGTCGTCGGCGGCCTCGTCGTACTCCACGGGTTGGATTGGCGTGGAGTGGAGAGCAGTGCAGACCTGGGATTGAATTCTGGTGTAGGTAAGGAACCCTAACTTGCTTGGGTGGAATTAACTGACTTCTGCGATGGAAGGTGTCAGGAATCACATCAACATTAATAATGACCAGTGAAGTACCTCAAGTACTCTTATGCATCATGCTAAACTCCTATGGTAGAAGGTGATTTGACATTTTAAACCGTTGTCTTGTAGATATTTTGCTAACCTTAGTTGGTACATTAATGGTAAGATAAGACTGAGGAGTTCGTGATTGGTATGTGAAAGATCTGAGGTGGAAGCCTTTTGTTGAATTTGAGTTGCTTTACAAGGAGCTTTTTGGTTCTCAGCCAATGAGCCAACCAAAATTTTGTACTGTCCTGAATTGCCACAGCAAAAATGAGCAACTACAATCTTAAGAACACAGGCTGTGTGGCGCATGTTTTGGCTTGGTTGCATACAAAGCTAGATGTCACCTCCTGGCTGACTGTTTAAACGTGTCATTTTCTTGTTACCAATCTTCTGATTAACATATCTTCTCAACCATGCATCTGATGTGCAATGATGCAATCCATTTGAACTGTTGTATTACTTACAATCAGATCAATAAATGAAGATCTGCGCTGTCTTTGTTTTGATGCTAAAATAAGTTAGTGGCATGTGTCATACTCACAGTTTCGGCAAACTTTGGCATGGCTTCTGTCCAAGTACCATTTTTCCTTATTATTTTTGCATTGCTTGTGAATCATTACAGCCACAGCCCAACATCCTTTTCTCACCAATGCTTCGGCATCATCAACATTTTTGTTTGGTTCACCAGAGTCACAAACCGAAAACAAACAAATTTCAAGTAATAATGCTATAATATAGCACTCAAAGTTTCAGTTGTAATTTGGTCTGAAAAATTGCAAGCTGACCATAAAAATTGAGTGCCTGTGCTTATTATATTACTTGAGTAATTCTGAAAGTTTGGTTGCTGGATTTTACATGTTACTTTGGTGTCCTTTTAAAGTCCCCATTTTTCTGTTGTAGGATCTGATTCTGTGTTTTCGTTATTATTACTTTATTTTCACAGATGGATTCCACAGCTCTTCAATATGAAAACCAAAAGTTGGTGCAACAACTGGAGGCACAGAAGTCTGAAATGCATGCATTGGGGTGCAAGTTCAAGGAGCTGAGAGATGAGCAATGTTTTTATGACAAGACTCTGATTTCTTTGAATAAACTGTGGAACCAGGTTCTTTCCTTTGTGTCTGATATGAACATTTCTCTATGGACCTTTTCCACTCCAGCATGTTTCTCATTATGTCTATGTATATTATAGCTGATTGATGATTTGGTTCTGCTTGGAGTACGGGTTGGTGGGGATTTGGATAATTTGCAAGCACTTGACCATGAAGAGTTATCAGAAGGTTGATTAACATTGCCTTTTAAGGTCCAATTCATTTCAGCAGTGATGCTTTTTAGCTGATTGTTTACTCATTGTTCCTCAGAATCTTTGGAGTCGTGTCCTTCTGAGGAGATATTTCTCTTAAGGCTCTTGAAGTCAAACAACATCAGAGATAATAGTGACACTAGCTTGTTGGAATTTGTTGAAGAAGCTCTTGCTTTTCGGTGTTCAGCAACTGTTACTCTGATGAAGTCCCTGCAAGAGACTATTTCTTCACAGCAAGCTAGAAGTGAATCTTTGTCTTTAGATTTGAATGGACAGAAGTCAAATGAAGGTAGAAAGGGAAATTTCCACATTTTTCCTTCTTATTTACTCTGCACCTAAGTTCTCTACCCATTTTCCATTTAATTAAACTGTATCTTTTGTTAGATGTTATTGTTGCCCTTCAAAATCATAATGATTGCTTGAAAGAGGTGGCTGAGAATGCGAGTCAAGCTATCTCTATTATCAATGAGAAGCACAAAAGGTATCTTGATGAGATTGAGGCTTTTAAAAGCAACCATTCAAGTGATCTACAGGAAATCAATCGTATTTCAGGTATTAAAATCTTCCATCTGGCTTCAGTTTGGGTAAAATTTAGCTGCATCCGCATTTAAGACGATTCCTTCACAGCTCTTGACTTTTCTCCCCTCTTATGTAATGTACTACTACCCCTGAGTCACAAATAGGTGATGGTTTTGGACATTGGCACAATGTCTAAAAAACTAAATATATATTTTTTTTTGTTATAATATACTTGTAATGAAGGGTGGGCCTGGTGCAAGCGGTAGAGTCTTACCGCCTGTGACCGGAAGGTCCCGGGTTCGAGTCGCAGTCTCCTCGCATTGCACAGGCGAGGGTAAGGCTTGCCACTGACACCCTTCCCTAGACCCCGCACAGAGCGGGAGCTCTCTGCACTGGGTACGCCCTTTTTTTATAATATACTTGTAATACATAAAAACAAAAGTATATTATTATTATTATGATACTATTATCGATTCAAAACTACTCGTATAAAAAAGGGCAGACCCAGTGCCGGAGGCTCCCACATGAGTGGGGTCTGGGGAAGGGATAAACCGAGACAAGCCTTTCCCCCGCAAAATCTGTGGAGAGGCTGCTTCAAACCCATGACCTGGTGACTTAATGAGACAGCTCTCAAAACTACTCGTATGATCATCAAATATCAAAGCTCAACACATAAAAAGTAATTTGCCATATTATATGAAATAAATTCTGGTTTTGCAACGGACCTTTATGCTATGCTCTGCATATTTATTTGGCAGGGTGTTCAGAGTGTACTGATACTAGGTGAATTCCCTGTGCGTTGCTACAGGATGGTTTAAGACAAATTCAACAGATGGATTTGCGTAGACATTTTAGAGTTAATGATTTCAGAAAAAAAACAATTGAGAGCAATGATCTGCTTTTCGGAGTCTTATGTGAACACGCTGGAGTAGCAAGATGGGAGAATACTATAGGACAGATGCGCTCCACGTTCTCCAAACACGAAAGCAGCAGCAGGTAGCAAAGGGTCTTCATGCATGATCTGAAATGTTAACTAACAATTTAGTGATGTTTGATCAAATGATCAGTGAGGATCAATTATCCTGCTCTATCAGCCTAGAAGTTGAACAATAAATGGGTTCTAGAAAGGCGGATTAAGTTACGTAATAGAGTAATCCTATGATCCTGTAAAATTAATTGATCGATTCAATTGCTCGTGCATATATCCTGTCACTGTCATATGAAATTATCATCCTGCAACTGTAGCTGATCCAGTACAGCTACGAAGCCATCTGTACACCATTTATTGGCACCAAAGATGTGTTGAGCAGCAGCTTACTCTGTTAATGAAGGGATGGTGCCGCTCATGCTGGTATTCCGTGGTGGAGCCTGAATTGTGTAAACCAATTGGTTGGAGGTGGTCAGAGATTGGAGCAACCTGCTGGTGCTGTGCGTGGCTGGGAGGCAAAGCTCCAGGGAATGAAGCGCTGACAGATGCGTGCGTGGCTGGGAGGCAAAGCTCCTGGGAATGAAGCGCTGACAGATGCGTGCATGCCGTGTGACTGCTAAACTGAGGGGAAACATGGTGATGATCAGAGCAGGGATTTGCGAATGCGCAACAAAACTGGAGGCTGCCAACTGGGATAAGGTGGTGGTCACAGACCAGAGGAGCCGAGGAGGAGATGAAATAGTTGAATTGGAAGAAGAGAATAGCAAATCTGCATCTGGTGTCTTCTGCTCGATGGGTTGCTGTGTTCAAGAAGTACGGAGATCAGTGACTATGGCTTTTTTTTTGTTCATGATTATGCTGCTCCTGTGAAGACTAGCGGGAAAGTTCACCTTCTTAGGTCAGGGTTCGCTGTTAAGTTGTTTTTCCAGTTTTTTGTTTTATTAGATTCCAAGGTGTGAGAGTGTGATGTTGTATGGGGGTTCTTTTCCCCTTTTTTATTCTTCTTAATTCTTAATGTGGCAATAAGCACCGAATGTACGAATGTTAACTGTGAAGTGCCGAGGGGGAGGGATCAACCCCTTAATGGGCCTGCTGTGGTGCTGTGGTTAGTTTACCTGGATAGCAGGTGGGCCTTTTGGATTTTTCGGGCTGAGAATGCATGACATAGAACAAAGAACGCGACCCAGCTAAAATACACGCATGTATAATTGTATATACATATATACTCGTTTTTTAGCAAGACAGTAAAGTATTTCCAGGAATACCCAAACATCCATATAGGATCCACCCATGAGTCTGACCATTGTAGTTTGGCTAACATGGTCTAAACAAACTCATAATGCAAATGCTTTCATTGGATTGCAGGTGAGCTAGAGGAAAGCACTGCAGAGCTTGAGGAAAGTCGAAGGAAGTTGGTTGTGCTCCAGTTGCAGAGGCATGGTTCTGTAATGGATGCATCCGGGGCAAATGCTGTGAATGGTGGTATTTCTACTCATAAATCTTCAGATAAAAGTATGAGCTGGCAAGACCTCAAAGATGCTGTTGACGCAGCTAAGGTAATTGTGAACTGTAATCATGTTAATCTTCAAATCTTCTCAGTTTTCATCTTTTAGTGGTATGTTTGATCTTTCACTGCTAATTTGTGGAATTTCCCCAACTGAGTGCAGACCCTCTCAGGAAACCGTCTATTAGAACTCCATCAGACTCAAGAGGATAATCTGATACTATCCAAGGAGCTGGGAGATCTTGAGGTTGTTACCTTGATTTGTACTGCAGGGTTGGCATTTTTGTATTTTAAGTTGGATCCTGTTTTTTCTTATTTCACTGTGCTATGCATGCAGGGGCAATTGAAAGATGAGAAGTATGTCTTGGTATCCAAACCATACATGATTCTTAATGATAAACTACAGCATCTGAATGCTGAGATAGAGCGTTATAGAGGGTTGGTTGAAGTTTTACAGGTTTGGTGTCTGTCGTCTGTTATACTGTTTTGTATTGCATTTGTTTTGGTTTTTCCCAGCTTTTCTTCATTGTGTGAATTTAGAATGACAAGGACCAGCTCATGCAAAGGGAGAAAGAAATTTGTGCAAAATCAGAATCAGTCGACAGTATTAAACAAACCATTACCACATATGAGACCAAAATTGAAGAATTGGAAACTCAAATTCAGATACTCTTTTCTGAAAAGAATGATCTTGAAACCAAGGTTGAGGAGACTTTGCAAGATTCAGGTAGAGGGGACCTGTCACATATGCACCTTATTTAAGGAGGTGGGGGTGGGGGGGGGGGTTGTCAGTTGCTCATCTCTTCTTGATTGTTTCCATTTATCCTTTTAGGTAAGAAAGACTTCAAGGATGAGATTCATGTTATGGCCGCAGCACTCTCCAATGAACTGGGTATGATGGAGAATCAGTTGAGTCGATCAAAGGATGCAGCTTCTGAAGCACTTGCATTGCGTGAGCAAGCAGAATCACTCAGATCATTGGTAGCTAAAAAGGTTTGTCTTTGATCTGGTTAACCATTCCTTGCATACCATTTCCTTTATTTTGCCTATGTCGAGTTGTTTTGTAATATTCTTATTCATGTAACCTAACGTTGTTTTAAAGCTAAGCCTGTCAGAAGTTAGCTTCCTACGCACTCATGAAAAACATTCATGCATATATTTCTTCCACTCAGTTCTTTTTCTCCCCTAATTTCAAAGTGATGGTTGGTTCCCCAATCCCCACCCTGCGACTCTTGGGACCGAACCTGGGTGTTGGTGCCAGTTCACGCCCATAATGACTGAAAGTACATGCTTGTGGAGTTGTGGTTCCATGCTATTCTTCATCCAGTCCTTCAGTTCATAATTTTAGATTTTACCTGGTTTCTCTTGATGTACTCCTCATTTGGCATTCATCTGTCTGACATATATAGTATATCCATGGAGCATTACCTTATTTTGTTTATTATCACTGTGGATTTTCCACATAACTCGCTAATTTCATAATATAATCATCGAAGTCCAATGCACTGTTTTCGGAGTAGGACTGGCATCAGTATATGCTTAGGTTATGATGACCATGGTTAAGTCGAATGAAGTTAATACTTAATACTCTACGGATTGGATATCCTGTGAGCATAAAGCAATGCACAACATAATGGGTCTGGAATTTTAGATTTTTGGATTTAGTTGAGTTCATTTGGTTAATTGGCTCACTGCATTCTGACTATCATACTGCTCGCGTCAAAGCAGGACTATGCGTGGGACCACTGTGGGATAGAGTCAATAGACATGCATACTTTGATGCCATCTTGCATAATTGTATGATGGTGTTATAGTAGAGTTATATGTTGAATAGTTCTATATGCTGTAATCCTCTTCTGCAGACATTGTAAAGAGCTAGGAAAATGACTAGTACATGTGATGAAAATATGTTGAATTTTCAGATTGAGGAACACAAGAAGATATCCAATAAATACAACTCACAAGTAATTGAGATCAAGTCCCTCAAGGCATTGGTATGTTATCCTAAAAAATTCTGTTTCCTTAAAGGTGGTGCTAAGAGCCTGAGAAATTGATACATATATTCACCCCCTGGGAAAATTAGTGTATTTCCTTGGTCTCTCTTCGAGTTGTGGAACTTCTATCAAAGACACCAGTAGCAGCTATATCAAGTTTTTGTCTTTGTGTTAGCAAGGACATTTGACGTTATAATAGTGAAGAGCTTGATTGGTTAGTAGTACAGCATTTTAATAATAGACTTGACACTAGTATATTGTCGATTAACATAGCATTTGGTCTTTTCCATTTTATGTATCAATATGTAATCAGCTTTGCAGTTAGCTTGTAAAAAATGTTGCTCAATGGCCTGCATGCCCATATTCACGTCTTTGATTTGTATCAAAAGTAAAATCACGCATGAGCTGTGTATGTTGTAATGATCGTCAGTATACCAGCATTAGGTTGAGGATATAAGGTTTGGACCATCTATTTACTGTCGGGTAGCTTGATCATGAATTATATTCCTTTTCTCTTCTTGAAACTAAATCTTAATTAGCATTCACGGATGCAAGTTTCGAGCACAAGTTGCGGTTAAATGATACTCCCTCCGTCCTGAAATATAGTGCATTGTGACCTCTAAAATTTGTACTGAAATATAAGACATTCTATATGGTGCCCATGCTCAGATTTGACAAAGTTTGTTAAAAAGAAACCATAATTTGGGAAGAAACTCCTTAATTGGGTTTCATCCATGGGTGCATGCGTCATTGGAGCATTCCCTTAAGTTGTCTTAAAATTTTTGGAATGCATTGTATTACAGGACGGAGGGAGTAGGTTGCAGGGTTTTCATTCATATTTTGTCAATGAAATTTCATTCAGGTTGAGGAGTTGGAGCAGGAAAAGCAGGAGCTGGAGTTTATTGCAGATATGTACGCGAAAGAAAGTTCTGAGTCAAGGTAAAACTTGGCCATTATTTTTTATATCAATTTTTAATGCTTAAAAGGTATGACACTTTTAAAATGGTTTGTAATCGAATTGTTGAACTGTCCTCATCGTTATATTTTTTTTTCCTTGTTATTTGATGGCATTTCTGTTCTCACAGGATGACTATCTGCTTTAAAATTAGATGTACAATACCTCAGGATTGTTAGATGGTTTGTAAATTGCTCTTTGATTCGTAGTGCTTCTCCAAAGCAATATTTTCGAAATAAATAGATTTATTGCTATATTTGCTGATAGTATGTCAATTGCTCTATGATTCTTAGAGCTTCTTCAAAGCAATAGTTTCTAAAATAAATAGAATTATTTTACTTTAAGTGATTCGATGTAAAGAAGCAACCCCTCACAGCCCGGCCAGGAGTGACGTGGTGGTGCTTGTAAGGGGCCGATCCTTTTCTCTCTATGATGCAATGATACGCAGATCTCCTGCGTATTCGAGAAAAAAATAGATTTATTGCTATAGTTGCTCATGTTCTTAAATTTAATTTATTTTCAAGCAAGTTGGGGGTAGGCTAGAGATGAAACTTAAACATGAGAAAAAGGGGCTAAACGATTAAAAAGAGGTATTAGTAACAGTAATAATAGCAGTGGTAAAAGGGGACTGAGCCTATATCATGGTCTATGCACTTAGTTATTTTTTTTAATTTATTGCGGTGCATGCTGGTTTCATGTATGTATCTGCCTAGCTATCTAAGTGTGCTATCTTTGAATAATCATTACCTGGTTAACATCTATCAAGCTCTTAGGAAAAGTGATAACTGTTAATTTTACCTGCAAGTTGCAATTAGGTGGACTATTTGATATAGGACTCTAAATGTTGTTGGTAATTACACAGAGCAAATATAGTTCAGAGAACTTAAAATTTAAACGTTTTAAAAAATAAGAAGGCTAGCCAGGATACTGCAACTACTCTTCTGGGGTGAACAGTGGATGATTGAGGAAATGTATGTATAATGCAAGAATCACATTTACAACAACAACAACAACAAAGCCTTTAAGTCCCAAACAAGTTGGGGTAGGCTAGAGTTGAAACCCAGCAGAAGCAATCAAGGTTCAGGCATGTGATAGCTGTTTTCCAAGCACTCCTATCTAAGGCGAAGTCTTTGGCTATATTCCATCTTTTCAAGTCTCTTTTTATTGCCTCTACCTAAGTCAACTTCGGTCTTCCTCTGTCTCTCTTCACGTTACTATCCTGGTTTAGGATTCCACTACGCACCGGTGCCTCTGGAGGTCTCCGTTGGACATGTCCAAACCATCTCAACCGGTGTTGGACAAGCTTTTCTTCAATTGGTGCTACCCCTAATTTATCACGTATATCATCGTTCCGAACTTGATCCGTTCTTGTATGACCGCAAATCCAACGCAACATACGCATTTCCGCGACACTTATCTGTTGAACATGTCGTCTTTTCGTAGGCAAACATTCTGCACCATACAACATAGCAGGTTTAATCGCCGTTCTATAAAACTTGCCTTTTAGCTTCTGTGGTACCCTTTTGTCACATAGGACACCAGATGCTTGGAGCCACTTCATCGACCCTGCTTAGATTCTATGGCTAACATCTTCATCAATATCCCCGTCTCTCTGTGGCATTGATTCTAAATATCGAAATGTATCCTTCCTAGGCACTACTTGACCTTCCAAACTAATATCTTTCTCCTCCCGAGTATTAGTGCTGAAGTCACATCTCATATACTCAGTTTTACTCAGTTTTAGTTCTACTGAGTCTAAAACCTTTGGACTCCAAAGCCTCCCGCCATAACTCCAGTTTCTGATTCACTCTTCTCCGACTTTCATCAACTAGCACTACATCGTCCGTGAAAAGCATACACCAAGGGATGTCCCCTTGTATGTCCCTTGTGACCTCATCCATCACTAAGGCAAACAGATAAGGGCTCAAAGCTGACCCTTGATGTAGTCCTATCCTAATCGGGAAGCCATCCGTGTCTCAATCACTTGTTCGAACACTAGTTACAATATTGTTGTACATGTCCTTAATGAGCCCGACGTATTTCGTTGGGACTTTATGTTTGTCCAAAGCCCACCACATAACATTCCTTGGTATTTTATCATAAGCCTTCTCCAAGTCAATAAAAACCATGTGTAGGTCCTTCTTCTTCTCCCTATACCGCTCCATAACTTGTCTTATTAAGAAAATGGCTTCCATGGTTGACCTTCCGGGCATGAAACCAAATTGGTTCATAGAGACCCGCGTTATTGCTCTCAAGCGATGCTCGATAACTCTCTCCCATAGCTTCATAGTATGGCTCATCAACTTAATTCCCCGGTAATTAGTACAACTTTGAATATCCCCTTTATTCTTGTAGATCGGTACCAATATACTTGTATATTTCATTTTCTTGAACAATATATATATATTACATTTGATTCATTATATCACATCATTTTCTCTACATTGTGCATCTAGGACAATTGCTGATATTGAAGAATCAGAAACCCGAGCTCGCAGTCAGGCTGAATATTTGAGGAGCAATCTAGAGGAGCATAGTCTTGAGCTTCGGGTTAAAGCAGCAAATGAAGCTGAAGCTGCATGCCAGCAAAGGCTTTCCTTTGCTGAAGTGGAGCTAGAGGAGTTAAGGACCAAAGTAGATGCATCTGAAAGGTTGGCTTTCTGCTCCTGGGGACAATGATATATTTACAAACTAGAACAATTGATAGCTCTTGGTCCTTATAATTCAGTTTATCTGAATACTTTTCATGCTTATCTCAAGTTGTATGCAATACTCAATTTAGTGTTCTTTAGTTATATGAACTAGTATATTTGCTGGGTGCACGTGATGTAAAGTGGCAGGTATTATATGTTATATCTGTGAATCCAGTAAACATTTAGATTTGTTTTGTTAAGATTTGATTTTCTATGTCTAAGCCATACTCTGTCACCTCTGTGGCTCTGTGATTTGTTTTATCAGAGATGTTGTGGAACTTAAGGAGGCAATAAGAATTAAAGAGGCTGAAGGAGATGCCTATATTTCTGATATCGAGGTTAGTTAGTTTTTTGTTTATCAGTACTGTTTTTGGATATGAGTAAAATTTATAATATTTGCATACAGGCAATTGGTCAAGCATATGAAGACATGCAAACGCAAAATCAGCATCTTCTTCAACAGCTTACTGACAGAGATGACTTTAACATAAAGGTATTTATTCGTTCTCTCCTTTTTCACTTTCACGTCAAAGCTGCAAACTCATAACATACAGATTGGAGATACATGCCCGGAGGTTTTTATGCCAATCTTGACATGACACTACCTACTTTATAAAGTCATGAAAAGCTGTAAAATTTCAGACAATCTTATTGTTTCTGCCTTGTTAGCGTCTTAGCGAGCATAATAAGTATGTAAGTGATCAACCATATTTTGATGTGCAATGAAGTGTGAACCTCTGGCAAACAAGGAAAAAGGATCTAACAGGAAACATAATATACCAAGTATTGTGGGTTTTATGGCATATTTTTGCAGATATTGTAGTGCCTGAGACAAAGAGCTTCACTTACGTCTGATTGGCCACCTCATAATGTCTATTAGCTAGTTATTGCTGGAAATTATGCACATTAATCAAGTTTACAAAACTCTTTCTGCAGTTTTGCATTGGCAAAAGCAATATAAGCTTTGATTTTCTTATTGGTTACTACAGTAACTTAAATCTCATCTAACAGCTAGTATCAGATAGTGTGAAGATGAAACAAGCTTGTAGCTCCCTTCTCTCTGACAAGCTTATGCTAGAGAAGCAACTCCAACAAGTTAACACTTCACTGGAATCATCTAAACTGAAAATTGCCCGTGGTGAAGAGCAGGTATTGTCTTACTTATGTGGTAATACTTTTCTATAGTATCATTTATTGGCAAGTTGCAGTCACTGAATTTACTTGTGTGCCAACAGAGTCCTAGAAAATAGCAAACATCAACTTTCAAAAAGTATATTTATTTTAGTGCTTACACTCGGAAGTGAGTGAACTTTAATAGTGGTTTGCTTCGATGATTCTTACAGATGAACACTTGTGTAGCGCAAGCTATAAAAACTTCAGCTGAAAACAGGCATCTTACTATTAGCCTGGAAAGGATTGTGCTGGAGGTATCCAACACAGATAAGGAACTCAAGTGGCTTCGCTCCTCTGTTGGATCCTCTGAGAAAGAATATGAGCAAACTCAGCAAAAGATATCTGAGCTGAGAGCATTGCTGGAGCATGAGAGGTTAGGCTTCTGTTGCAAGTTGATCGTACAATGCCGCTGGCTTCTCGTCATTTGCTCGTTACCTTTACTTTTTTCCAGGAATGAGAGGCGGCGGCTTGAAGAACAATATGAAGAGGTGAAAAATGAAGTTATGGAGCTGACCTCTGAGACTGAAGAGACTACTATCCAGAAACTTCAGGATGAAATAAAAGAATGCAAGGCTATTCTCAAGTGTGGTGTCTGCTTTGACCGGCCTAAAGAGGTACATACAATGTCTTGTACAGCTTATCTTTTTGAATGACCTGAACCTGTTTCTGAATCATGATTTCAGAGGTCTACACCATTCTTACCTCTTTGTATCTCTGGTTGTTGGATGAACAGTTTTGCTGCCTAAACTGACGAGGGTTGTATTTCTCTGCATATTCGTTAACAGGTTGTGATCACCAAATGTTTCCACCTATTCTGCTCGCCATGCATCCAGAGGAACCTTGAGATTCGCCACCGGAAATGTCCTGGCTGTGGAACCCCATTCGGACAAAACGATGTTAGGGAGGTGAAGATATGAAACCTCACCAAAGTGAAGTGACAGTGACAAACTGACTTGTGTGTGAACAGCAGCGACAAACTCCCCTGTGAATATCGTCTGTTATCTTGGCGAACATCTAGATCTAAGTTGCCCAAGTAGTTTCGTGCATGCATACAACTCCGTAGGTAGCTATTTCTCACGCAGATTAATTAGGTACTTCGCACATTATGATTGTCATCAGAGATGGTGGTGTGCTGATGGCACAAGGACGAGGGTAAGAGCTTGCGGATTATTGTGGGCTCTTGCCTGCCACAAGTAGTTGTAGTTCCAGGCATAGGGCTGTTTGGTTCTTGTCCTCACCTCAGCCACTAGGTCAGACTGAGGTTCTCTGCGTTAGATAGGTTTGTCTGGGCCTCTAGGGGGCAAACCAAGCAGGTCCATAGTTTATTTTGTTTTTATGACTTCCATGTGTTTGATAAGCTACGATTGTGGATTGTACCAAGACAATATGTGAAGCCAAAATTCTGTCAATCCCAAAATTCATGTGCTTTCGGACTTTATGCCATGTTTGGGTTTCCTAAGAATTATGAGAATGAGAGATAATGAGAATGAGATCCAAGTAGATAGAATCTAATGGGAGATTCTTATAATCTAACAATCAGTTTTTGAGAATTAAACTATACACCTCCATCCTATTATTTTGTTACATGTGCGCACACTTACATATATGAACGCGTGCACACGCACCCTATCCTTAGACCTTATGAGCAACTCTAAAAGACCGATTCAACATATCTTGAGGCTAACAAAGTCATCATATATATCCTACTATCGATGGACATGTCGTCCACTACTAGAGAGACCATCACCTTAAAATCCTAAAATAAGTCTAGAAAAATAACGAGCACCCACAAAAGTCTATTTAGAGATAATAATTGTGAAAGACCTTCAACCACATATAGCCTGTGTCTAGATGTACGGATCTAAATAGACCTAATTTTTTATCCAGAATTCAAATTCTTGAATCACTATCTAGATTCTCATAATCCTTTGGATATTCAAATAAACCCTTAAACTGGTTGGTAATGTTTTGGCCAACTTAGGCTTCACATTATCAGTTAAGTTTTTTTTAAGCTTCAAGACGGTAGCTGAAAGTAATCAAAATTTTAAGTTTTTGCCAAGCCGAACTTTGGTATTGTCGGCATGAAACCAGATAAGCGCAGCCTAATGCCCTAATAAAAAGGTGATATTTGAAGCGCAGCATTAGCAATGGATAGACAGTTCGATCGTAGATGGTTCAGGTACAGTAACAATCTATCAGATTCTTCCAAACCATGATTACATTACTTGGTACAAGAAACATGAGATTATTTCTGTATCCACAACATATCAACAAGTAGCCCTTCCTTGAGTTCAGTCATTCAGTCGTAAATATCACCAAGTTAATCTGAGACAAGCTCCATATGAAACTGAAAGCGAAAGCAAATTATTATATATAAGATACATCATAAGCCAAGGATGAATTGCCACGGGCACACCGGAGCGCGCCAGTGATTGTACCAGCACCCCCACAGTCGAGGCTGTTCACCTCATGACAGGGGTGTGGTGGTGGACGCCATTGACGGCCATCTTTTCACCTCCATTCTCCGCGCGGAAGTTCATGCTGGGGAGGAAGTTAGCTGATGCGAAGCTGATGTGCTCTTGATGAGCCAGCATGCCACTCCCGTTTGAAACACTCGAGATCCCAGAGCTCGTCGAAGGCGAGTGAGATGTGCTGCCTTCAGTGCATAGGTTCCTGCCGAAGGCCGTTTTGCTGACCCCGCATGTTGGAGTCTGAAGTGAAGGCAGAGAATTCTGCTGCTGCTCCTGGAGCTCCTTTTTGTTGAGGAAACGGCCTCCTGGTCCGCGGACTCGCTTCATTGCATGACGATGCCGAGATTCATGGAGATATGGCTGAGAAGAGAAGGGAAGACAATTTTCACACTGATTGATATATCCCAGGAAAAATGTCCAAACTGTATGTATAACGGATGGATAAACAGTGCTGGCCAAGGATAATCATACATTGAAGAAACAAAGTTGGCACAATCAAAGAGAAAGGAAAAAAATATCTAGAAAGTAATATAGAGAATACAAGTGCTTACTGTATCCAATTTAATTTGCATGACAGGAAAATGCTGACTGATGCTTTCAGAAAGAAGCACTATGTTATTCAATAGTTGAATGTGTCGACATAACTGAATAGAATAATTTCAGTACAAAAAGATCCTAGTGAGAACACATGGGTAGAACCATAGACCAATAAGAGGTAGACACATAATTATGCTGTGAGAGGAATCTTAACATGCAGAAAAGTTTATTGGTTCTTTTATTATCAAGGGAAAGCGATGGAGCAGAGAAAGCATCCTAGAATGGTTGTTTACAAGGTAACAATGAGTGATGTGATGTTTAAGCAGACAAAACATAATTGTATTCTATATGTTTCTTCTTAATGCAATGATACACAACTATCCTGCATATTTGAGAAAAAAAATCTACACAAGGAAAATGGACATAAAGAGAGATGTGATAAGGTATGGAAATTACTATTATTTCGGTGAAACAAATTTTTCTACAAATACTCCCATCTGGTCAAAAATAGTTGTCACATTTGACTTTGCATGGTCTTTGATGCATATCATTGACCACTAATTTCTTCTAAAATACATTCTTGAATTACTTTAAATTTATATGAGATTTAGTAAATATTTTCAAATACAAGTCTATATATAGCTTGCATGTTTTTAAACTCAACAATTAAAAATTATTGATGTTTGTAGTTTTTAAGGATTAACCAAATTGTCCTAAACTATATATATGCTTTTATGACCAGAGGGAGTATTGGACACAAGGGTTCCCACATACACTGAAAGCGCAATAGGTTTTTGTATGCCAAAAATGTACTAGTAGTCTATTAGTTGCACTGGACTGACTTGATAACCATCTGAATCATCATGGAAGGTGTACTAAATAGTTTAGTAGTATAGTGCATCCCTAAGTGTGCAAAATTATTGAACTTACAAGAGAAACCATTATGGGCAAATGTGAAGTGTTTTAGACTTACCTTCCGACCTTTCACCAGTTTATTTTGAGCCTCCAATTTTGCGCGTATTTGCCTCCTCCGGAGGATAGCATTGTATTGCTTTGCATTGACAAATATGAGTTCCTCTGCTGCAGGCCCAAAAGGCAATGGTACCCTAGTGTTTGCTGAACCATTAATTTGGGGATGAACCTGCATGATAATACATAAAGACTCCACACAGCAAATTCACATATTTACGTTTTTCTTATAAAATATGAAGAAAAGGGCTTCATATTCATCGCTATTAAATTGGACACACTTTTACCAAATTCCATAATTAAACTAACCAAGCTATTTTTTTCCATGTAAAACTTAAAAATCCAACTATTTTGCCCACTTTCCATCTCGAAACAATGTCTACACTGTCCACAGCATTTCAGAAATAAAATAACAAAGCACAAATGAAAGGTAGGAACAAAAGGTTTCAGTAACTGAATGTTAATAACTTAAGCAAAATACATGGATCATGTTTGTTATGTAACTTTACCATGCTAACTAGTATAAACATTGAAACTATTGTAGAACTATAAACCATAGAGACTCACAATTCCATTTGAAGCATATCCTGCCAACACCCCGCCATAATATGGATCAGCAGTATAAGAAGCACAAGCCTGGAAAAATAGTGGGTAAAGGAAAAGCTAAATTTCAAGAATGGCTGAAGCAACTGAAGATTAAAAGGCCAATTAGCTTACGGAAGACTGGCTGTAGTCAAACTTGTGAGGGGAAAAGGCAGCTTCCGGGCTACCAAAGGACAATACAGACTTCGCCATGCCCTGGTCCCGCTTTCCACAAATATCGTTGTTATCTGAGAGGGAGAACAAACCTGTTATACAATAAGCAAAGCAGTAGAGCTACAAGGACAGTCGTGCTATCCATCTGTAGTGATACAAATTAATAAATGATTTTTCATAACTGAAACAAGGACAAGGAGTGCATATTCGATTGCTTAGGAGAATTGAATTAGATGAGAATTTCTCTTTTTGAAATAGATGAGAATTGAATTAATTATGCAATTTTGTGCTCATAAAAACATAGGAAATAATAATTTTTCATTAAATTAAAATTTATCATAGGGTTAGCTACATGGTTGAGCATTCATGTTGCTGCAAATTTACTTTGTGATGATTGAGTTCGAACAAAATTTCAAAAGAATTTAAATTGGATTTGAAATTGCATTTGGAAAACATTTGAAATAAAAAAAACTTTCTTCCTCTCTTCTGGCCCGCAGCGGCCCACCCGTTTCCTTCCTCTCGCGCCCCCTCCTAGCTCGGCCCAACCGCACGCCCCCGGCCCAGTTGGCCCAGCAGCGCCGCGCCTTTCCCTTTCCCCCTCTCTCTTTTGCTGACCGGTGGGCCCCGTCCGTCAGGACCTTCTTCAACCCGTCGCCGCACCGGACTCCATGGAGGAGTCCGTGTCGATGCCTACCCGGCCATTTTGGCTTGTCCCGCAAGCTCCCCCGCCTCATAAGTAGCAGCGGTACCCCGCGCCGCTTTCCTATCTCGCCCCAACGCAGCCATCGCCTCGCCTCCGAGCCACAGCGAAGCCGCCGCCGCCATTGGAGATCCGCCACCGCCGCGTTCGCCGTTCTGCCGCCTCTCCGCCTCCGCGACTGCCTTGCCCTCCCTCGCTTTCAACCTCCGGTGCGAGCTCGCCGTTGCATCGCCAGATTCCTCAGCCGCCAAATCGAGCACCGCGTCGCCACCATGCCGTCACAGCCGCTCTTAACCCTTCCGTCGAGTTCGGCTCGAACTCCTCTTGCTTCCCGTGCCTTTCCCGTGTCCAACGGTGACCGGAGTCGCCGATTCGACGAACTCCGGTGAGGTCTAGCCCCGCCGGCCATGGCAACCACCGCGCGCGGATTCCCTGTTTTGGCCGGCCAAATCTTCCCCAACACATCGCGGGCCGTCCGATCTGAGATTCACGGCCCATATTAGAAGGTACCGATTTGCCTGCTATTTTGCTAAAGAGTCCCTATGATTTTAGATATTTGAACCCGCCGTCCCTACCTTTTTTCTAAAGAGCCCCTCGAGTTCTTGGTAGTTCTGCCCGCAGTCCTCCATTTTAAATCTTATATTTGATTTATTTTATTCCAAAAACAAGTTCTAGTTAATAACAAAATTGCCACTATCTTCTTTAGGCCATAACTTCTGCATTTTAACTTCGAATTAACCCGTTCAAGTCGCGTTAGATTCGTGACGACGAGATCTACGCGTTAGTAACAATGTTTATCATGTCACTAGCTCTGGAATTTCATGGTTTAAATCCTAACTTGAATAATAATTATGCAACTAGATTTCTAAATAAAATATGATTACTTTCGTTTTAATTTTCTAATTTAAATCTAACTTGACCTAATTTAATTTAGATATTTCTCTGAAATATCTTATACATCTTTTTATATAGTTAAAATTAATGAGGCTCGTGGTTCTCTTTTATAAAATAAATCTTTCGGTAAAGTAAACCTTTCAGTGGTTGTATCCTTTGCACCGTAGCTCCGATTAGCGTGCTTTTCGCGTCTGTGTGTTCATAATAACGTGTAGAACATCTTTAAAACCTTTTTTACTTGCTGTTTCATATGTTTGGTGTATTTTTCTAATTTAGATCTATTGTTTTGCTTCGTGTATGATTGCATGGATGCTTGTGTGGTGCTTTATGATCATGTCCAGTCGATGACCTTTGCGTTGGTGATATAAAAGAAGTTGGTGATCCAGAAGAAGTCATTTGGAGGTTACAATTCAATAGAAGAAGGATTTGAGTTTAAGGCAAGTATAGCATGGGATCTTCCTTGTTGTCCTATTCACCTTAATATCATTTTAATTATATGTATGTGTCTACCTTGGCAACCGTAGTAATTTTCTTAGCTATTTGATATCCTGGATTCCTTGATTCCGATGGGTTATTGCATTGGGTAGTATGATGCTAGTGCTCAATCAAAGCCATGATCTTGTAACTTGACTAATGGTATATGCAATAAACATTAAAAGTTATTTTTAGCAACATGGAATTAGAGGGTTAGAGAATTGGGTTGTTTTTATAGTGCTCTAGATTTCTCTCCCTAAGGACTTATCTGTAAGCGAATATCCGGGACTTACAGTACAACTGTGAGGGCTACATGGCTCTGACTTTAGCTCAATATGAGGACCTTTTCTAGCTTGTTAGAGGTTATCTTTATGGCGCAAGAGAGGTGTGTTTCGGGTTGGATATAGTGCAACCTCTGTCTGTCAGTGTATAGGCTACGTGTCATTGTACTGCTGGAAGGGGAGCCCTACATTCGCAGGGCACAAAAACCTAGCGGCCCTAACTTGTTAGACGAACCTTTGAAAGACTTCATAGTGACCTCTGCTTGCTTACCTTGGAAGTATTTTGAGAGTAATTAGCCCGGGCATATGGGTATCACGACTCATAGTGAAAGTGTACAACCTCTGCAGAGTGTAAAATTGGTATATTAGCCGTGCTCACGGTCACGAGCGGCCTTGGACCCTTACGGAATAGATGATGAACACTGATGATACTATGATAAAGATGCTCATTAATAGTTAATTGTTTATGCTATTCATTATTCATGTTTACCTGATCATGTGTTTATATGGGCTTATGAATAAACTTGTTGCCACCCGATTGCTAAAAGATGACTCGTTAAAAGCTAATTGCAGGTAAACCAGTGTCAGCCTTTTGAACCTCATGAACCCCATGTTATATTTGTTGAATACGACATGTACTTACGCTTGCTTTACTTTTTAAATCTTTAGAAAAATCCCGAATGGGTACCAGATTGCTAGAGTTTTGAGAAATTAGGCTTGTGATCAACCAGTCAGTTGTCTATGTGGAATTGGAGTCTTCACCCGAAGATCGGAGTTGTCTTTTCACTGTTTGCTATCTAAGGTTATGTCCTTTATACTAAGTATATTATATATTAAGCATTGTCTATTGATATTACCTTTATTTGTAGCTATATGTGAGATTTGACTTCCTAGGCTTACATATGGTGTGTATCTGGTTTTGTCCTTCAAACCATGTGCTACAGTAATGACGCTTACGGGAATGTTTTACCAGTTTGTGTTGGTGTGTGTTGTCCATTGAGGCTGCAGTCAGATAAGTCTCGCTGAGACTGCTCAGATTTGGATGATGAAGAGTCTATATCAGAGTTGCTACGCTTTAATTTAATGAATAACCATTCCCAGACAGGAAATCCTACACAGAAGTGGCTTGTTATCCATTATTGAAGATCTTGTAATTCATAACCCAATTCAGTCCTATACCAAACTTTTACTCACATAGTTGGGCATGGGATGGAATGGATCACCATCCATTTCTCGCAGAAGCATTTTCGCTATCAGATCGCTTCACTCAATCTCAAAAAACGTTTTTCTTCTTGCTGCTTTTAATAATAGAAAAAATATTCAGAACAAATTGGTAAAATTGTGATTGAATTTGGCTATTCATTCTCTACCAACATGGCTATAAAATAGATTGAACAAACCTAAATATAGACAGAAAAATAAAATAAATCGAAGGAACATTGTGAGGCATCAGTCATCACATTAACACACAGGGTTCATTTGTCATCTTTGAAATATTTAACCAAGCTACTAGCTATACTTACTCCAGGATAAGCATAGCTTCTGAACGGCAATACATGCCAGGCTACAAAAGAAGAAGAGTATAACAGTGCCTGCAACTGCAGCTCTAGAGTCGAACACATGAATTTACTGTTACTGACAATCCAGTAGACCAGTATACTCAACATGACAACAATTTATCTATTCTACAACTGACAACGCACTACACGTCTATTTTCAGATTACGATAAGATTCTTTGGAATTATTAATTTAAAGTAATACCTAATCTGTACTCGTCCATATTTTGGAGACCTATCATTAACCAGGAGAATAACAACTGAAATTCCAAGCAGAATATATTTGACACAGATCACATAAACCATGCTGGTAATGGAACATAACGCAACAAAATTTGAAAAATCACACCGCCCGCCCAAGTTTAGCCTAAAATTCTCACGAAATAGCTTAAAATAATTCCAAATCAGCAAAAGTGAAGTCTCAACTAAGTTCTAACACCATGGAAGACTCGTGTTCTTGTCTATTGCCGGACCAAGAAAGAGTAGACTGAACAAGAACGTGCTCCCCAACCAATAATTCAAAGAAACAGTTTCCAAAGATCCAGCTGAAGGAACAAATGAGTAGATCGATGCGGAAGCAAGAATATAGGCAAGAACCAAATCCACACAAAACTGCGGAGGAACTGAACAAGGCACCAGACAATTCAGGAAGCTTGACTGCTTGAGACCAAGGCAAGAATCCACTATAGGAAAGATTCACCGGCTAGAAACAGCAAATTTGACGTGACTGAAGACGAAGCAGCAGGAAGTACCTCTCCGTCCTCGCGTCAATCTAGTCCCCTTCTTTCTATCTCCTCTCCCTCCTCCCTCTCTTTCTCTCCCCAGTACCCCTCCTCCTCCTGGTCCTGGACAGACTAGACGGAGGTACTACTGCGGAAAGGCCCTCCCCCCGCAGCCAAATATACATTCGTTGTATATCCTTTTTTGCTGGGTTCTTCTCTCTCTCTTCTGTTTTTGGGTTAAACAAATATGATCTGTCACACTCTCATCACTATCATACATTATCCACCAGCAAAATTGCTAGACACACAGGGCATAGGAGCAACATGTTATGCATATTCTTTTACAATACAAATTGTCAACAATGCGGTTCACTATTTTAGTACTCGCAGCTATGGCTTATATTTCAGACCAGATAACTTTTTTTTTCTAAACTATGTAATATAAATATTATTATCAGGGTTAGATGGTTAGAAGAGCTGTTGGTTGTGGTTGTGTTGCCTTCTTTTGTGACAATGGAATATTTATGTAGGTAAACTTGATTGTCAACTAATTGAAAATGAAGGTTTGGTGCAAAGTATTTGGTTAACCATTTTAACTGGTACTAAACATGATGCAAATCCTTTTGGTAGCTAAAGATTTAGTAATGTCATGCTTTAATAACTAAGTATAAATGTGTTTAAAAAAGTGTTGTGCTCAAATCTTATGGAAAGCTTATTATTAAATTTAGATTGACTATTAAAATCACATACAGTTCTACAAATAATTAAATAATAGCAATACAAAAGAATTGGGTATGAATTATGGATTGAAACTTGAGTAGTTTGGGTTTTGTGATGAAGGTGTTTTCTAGCTAACACTAACGCCAACAACATACATTTAAATTCAAAATGACCATTGTTTTATTGTTTTGATAGGATGTAAGTTACTCCCTCCATTCCAAATTATATGACGTTTTAGCTTTTCTAATACATTGGTTTTATTATGTATCTACACAGTGCATATTTAAGTGCATAGCAAAAACTATGTATGTAGAAAAAAAACAAAACGTCTTATAATTTGGAATAGAGGGAATACTAACCATAGAAGTGGTAATCGGAACTTCCAAAACTACACAACAATATGCACTTGTTCTAGCACATACCTACTCTGTTTTGGAATATAATGATTTTTTTCGGTTATTCTAAGTCAAAGTATATTAAGCTTGACCAAGTTTATCGAAAGAATAATAAATATTTACGATATCAAGTAAGTTTTGTTAGATATAATATGAAATGTGTTTTTTTATATATATATTTTTTGGTGTGATAGATGTTACTACTTTTCTCTATAAATTTATTAATCATACTTATGATGATTTGAGCTATAACAACTGACAAACCATTATATTTGACGACTCACCAGAGGATAGGTCAAAGAAGTGTTATTTAAACCACTGCACATAATAGATTGACCAAACCATAAAAGAAGTCTTTTTTTTTGTTGCTAAAACAGAAGGTTGCAGACTTGCAGTGTAGGAGATTCTCGTCGTATACGAGCCGCATCTTTGTTTTTTTGACGAAACAGCCGCATCTTATCATCACTCGAGCTCCAATCTAATTAACTCACAATTTTAGGTAGGAGGAAGGTGGGGGCCGGATGAGATTTTTCTGCTCTGTATCGTTGGAGGGGCAAAACTGGAATCAAATACCCAAGCAAAAGCACATACGTGGGCAGGTTGGGGTCCTTTAGTCCAACTGGTTAGAGTATTCCGGTGGCACTTTTCAGGTTCTGAGTTTGACTTTTCGTGTGAGCGAATTTTAGGTTGGGGTTAAAAAAATCCCCTCGTCTGTCCCATGCCAAAGCACAGGTCTAAGGACCGGCCCGTTCTCACAGGGCGACGGTACCGCTGTGTAAGGGTGGGGTAGGGGTTCGGGGTTTTCTGGGCCTACGTGAGAAGGTCTTCTTCTTAATGCAATGACTGGGGTGGTCATACCCTCGTAGGTCCAGTTTTTATTATCAATTTTATTATCGAAAGCGACACCAACGAGATTTGTTAAGGTGCCACACGTAATGGTAGGGACGACAACTCGTAGACCAACGCTATGGTGGGTGCCATTGGGAGGGCCCCAAACAAAGAAGGCACTATCAGACGCACAAGTTTGAATTATATGCCTTAGTACTAATTGTTCATGCCTTATTAATATTCATGTAAAAAATGATTTGCTATAAACAACACGTTGCGAAGATCAATTATCATAGTACAACGCAAATGCGAAGATCAATTATCATGAAACCTTAGTTGGGAGTGTGAGAGTAAAGCAAGAATAAACAGTGAAAATGTTGTGGACTTATTTATTTCATCAAGTGCTCAAAAAAGTAATGGGCCAAACAGAGTCAACTTTTGAGTAGCCAAGTTACTTTTATTGAATCTTTTATGAAATGATGAAACTATTTTGCGAAAGCGAAGAACTCTTAATAGAAGAGGAATTCGTGCACCTTCCTGGCCCTCGTGGATCTTGTGGATCAGGAGTGATACCCTAGCACAGAAACTACTGTTTTGTTAACGCCTGGATTTTTTCTCACAGGTGGTTCATAAGTGGTTGGCGTTAGTAGAAATAGACACATGGGCCCATGGATAAGAACCATCAATATAAACATATCTATATTGATGGTGTTCTTAAGGAAACCGCCAGTGTAAATCCTAGCTTCTTCAATTAGATTTATCGTTGCAAACCAACTGACAAGTCTCTTAGCTAGAGATGGAGAGATCATAAACATATATGTTGACATGTGCCACTTCATTATGCGCGAAATTTTTCATTACCAAGGGAACTATAAAGATGAAACTTCTGAGTTAGCATAGACCAGAATACAGAGGCCTGCATGATTTTGCTAGGCTAGATTTGAATAAAGATGATTATTAGTGAATTGTAAGACTTGATGCAACATATAGCTAAAACCTTGGACATATATATGCTTCGATTGATGTATACTTGATCAATGACTATAGTACAATGGAATATGTGTTGGTGTTTGCTGATACATGGAAATATAATTATTCGTTCAGCAGCCATTAACAGTAGCTGTTGCTGGTACGGTTCTACATAAACGCGTCAGTGAGAACGCAGCCCACAGCAGCGGCGACCGTAGAATAGCCTGCCGAATAGGCCATTATCCAGCCGCCTTCGGAAATTAATTAACAGAGGCAGTTTACACAAACCACATGTGTAAATTGATTTATAATGACGGTAGAGTTAGTGGTTCTCAAGCTGACACCGGTAGAATGCCATCAGCTTTACTGGCCTTTCACACTGGCGGTTTACAAATCAGATGCAAAAGTGCCTCCAGTACAACAAAATTGGCAGCGGGCGACACTACAACAATACTGACGTATAGCAAAAAAAAAAAGTGTCACAAACCTGTCATATTTTGCTGTCAATTTCAAAATGCAGGCTATTTTAATTTAGTTTCTTGCTAAGACAAACTTTTAAATTTGATTAAGTTTATAAATATCTATACTATTAAGTTAGTTTTTATTTGATTCACTGTGTATGCTTTACATTTGCTGACAAAACCCAAATGACCTATATTTTAGAAATGAAGTGTAACAACCCAAAAATCCACATACCAAAAATCACAACTACAAAATTTTTGTTTAAGCCCTATGTGATGATGAGTGACACATGTAGAAACTAAACCCTAGTTTTGGATTAGATGTGACCCAACTAGGTTAAAATCATAAGCATAGTTTGGTTTTATGCCACATGTGTAATTAAATTCCTAAATAAATAAATCATACATGCATCCTTAATCTCACTTGTGATTTGGATTCTTTTGCCTTACGTGATGTTTAACTAACTTACTTAATATTTATGATAAACCCTAAATAATGAATTATTTGTTGGAAGAATAAAACACCCCTATATAAAAACTTCAACTATTTTTGTATAAAAATAGCCAATAATCCCAAATATATGGGATGTATT